GAAATATATGAAAGTTTCATTTTTATCATTACATTATGGAAAATAATTACCTTTATCACAATATGCTAATTTTTTGAGAAGGACCTGTATAAAGTAAAGGGAACCAGTCCAAGCACTGACCCCTGAGGAACTCCATGACTTACTCTGGTGTATCCAGATGATTCATTATTAACATGAACAAACTGGAATCTATTAGATAAATATCACTTTCCTCTACCATTATACAAGCAGGGTGAAGCCCCCACCCCCGTCAACAGAACACAGCGTCCTGCCTCCAGAACATATTGTGATGAAGTTATACAAGTTTCACAAACATTTCAAAACAAATATACCATTTAAAGAATGTATAGTTTATTTAAAGTATTTTGATGTTGTAGGAAAACTCTACAAGGTGCAACATATTACAGACAATTTATTGATAAATTTGACCTTTTTTCTTTGAATAAACCTGATAAAACAACAACTCAAAAAGGTCAACTTGTAGTGTGGGAATCAAAAAGACATAAAAGCAGCAATTTCCATTAGAATCTGAAAAACACCGCCAAACAAATGTTAAAAAAAAAAGTAAGATATTGACAGTAAATGCGGACAAAATAGATATTAATAAACTAAGTTCTCATGAATATTTTGATTCACCAGGGTTGCAGCCTTCAAAAAGAAGTCTATGGGGCTCGCCCAACCAGTCAACAAACAGCAGGGTAACTGAACAAAAGAAAAATCTGCACAACAAATTAACCCAAACATATATACAAAAACAAATAAAGCATAAAAGAGCAAACATATTAAGTAACACTGCAATTTAAAAAAATAATAATTACACAGTATATAACTTGCACATACATCCAGTGATTGCACATAACCTAAAGTACTTTTAAAGAATTAGAGAACAGAGAACCAATCAGAATCAAACAAACATTTATTCATATGATCCCGTTTTTGTCATTACTACTAAATTTTTAATCAGTGCAGTTAAAAAAAGAAAAATAAATACTCCAGCCGGAGCTACAGACTGAAGCCAGACACTGCGATCTGCTGAGCGTTGTTTCTTGCCTCAAAATACGAGGTGTCTGTTTCGTCCTCGGGCTGAGGTATGAAAGGCATCGGCTGGTTCTGCAGGTTGTCCCAGTCCAGACCCTCAAACAGCAGATGGCACTTGAGTTCTGGTGGAAATTCAAAACCCACAATAATCAACAACACAACACATTCAGTGTAGTTCCTCAGCAGGTGAGTGGACAGACAAGTTTCAGCATGAGTGGTTTGAAGGATGACTGAGGCACAAAAACAGTTTTATTCTGGAACATAAACACTCAAGAATCAGCCATGAGGCTTGTTTGCTCTACTTTGGAGTGGAACCTTAAGATGGTAAGAAAATATTTTAAGTTAGGTACAGTAGTCCTTCGCTGGTTCGTGGTTCTACTTTCGTGGACTACGTACTACAGTACAGGATACTGTAGAGTGAAAAGTTAACGAAAAAATGAAATACTTAGGACAGGCACTGCCATTTTGTAGTTTTATCTCAATAAGTCTGCATCAACACTCATAAGGACTACATTTCCCAGAAGTCCCGTTGCCTTGTGCTGAAATACATAGAGGGAAAGTTTTGATCTGATCCGAAAAAGTTCAATCCCTTACAGTGACTTCAGCGCCCAGCGGATGCAGAGAGCCGCACAGAACCCACCGGGCACCGGACCAGAACCAGACCCATCGGCAAATCTGAGAGCTGGTAGCCAACCACAAGGACCTCCTAGCAGGGGACACACAGCCGTGGGTCTGGCTTCTCGCTGGAGCCCACCGCCCCGAGCCAGAGAGCCGACCAGAACCAGCAGGGTAGATCCGTCGAAACAGGGATGTAGGTTTAAAAGTTTAGAACATTGCAAGAGTGTGGGAAGAGTTTCTTCTTAAGTCTTAATACATATAAATACTAAAATAAATATAACGTCACTACTTTGCAGATTTCACTTATTATTATTGGTATTAAATTTTAGGTGTTAAAATACTGTCAGAAGAAGGATGGGTCTATGAGGCTACTAAAAATGCAACATCTTTAATCAGGTGTATCTGACTGGATTCTATTGGAACAAATTCTGCTGTTTATTAGCCTGGAAGATGATATTTAAAGATGTCCAGTGACAGAAAAAAAGCTTGTTATCTTGGTGTTGTTTTGGTAAAAATGTACGCTTTTTTCTTTCTTTGTTTTATGAACACGGTCAAAATTGAAATGAGAAGTTTACTTTTGAGACAAATCAGAATTGACATTAAAAAAATCCAATGGCCTGCAAAATTTAATTTCATATGGAAGTAAACCACAGTAATATAGTGCCTAAATAATCCCTTTTTTACTTATTTTTTGCCCAGAAGTCATCAACAAAAAAACTAATTTTAAAAGTAATTTCACAAAAAACAAATATTGGAAGACTTCTTCACATACCAGAACCATGACAGAATCTGGTTTAGATGTACCACAGTTTGTTTAAAATCAGGCAGACATGACAAAGATCTTACTACAAAAAAAGCCACTGAAAGATGGGTATCATAAAAAAAACTGTTCAACACCGCAGCTCTTAAAAATGAATGTGTAAAAAATATGAAGATCAATAAAAGAATTTCCAAAAACATTTGTCAAAAGTTGTCTCCTACCCTTTAGACCAGAACGTTTCGTCATGTCCATAGTGAGCAGGATTTCAATTGCATTCCTCGAGTTTGCCGACAGTTCTTCCTCTCCTTCAGGCCAGGGGATGTCTAAAGAAAAGAAAATGACAGTCAGGTAGCAAAAAGAAGCAAGACCGTTAAAGAGCCCCAACGTTGGGCTCCATGAAGCAGATTTTGTCTTGAGGTTTATAACAAACCCACCTCTGTTGAGGATATTCTGGAAAACCAGCTGAGGTGTCTCGTCGTTGAACGGTGGCACACCTGTGAGGAACTCAAACAGACACACGCCGAGCGCCCACCAGTCCACCATGCAATCTGTTTGACAGTAAAAAGGAACGATTTCTGAGCTGCAGCAGGTTACAAACCTCTCCCTCCTGTTAGTGTGAACCGACTGCACTGCAGTGGTTGAAGCAGAAACTCCATTAGACTAAGCATGAAGTGATTCAGTTTAGCACTCCTCCACTCACATGTGCGGCTGGAGAATAATGACAGCAATGATTCACTTTAACGTGCATGCAGACAACAGGTATTTGGAGCTGTCGTAACGACTCATGAGAATTGAGCCTACTGCACACAAATACTGATATTTATGACTAATAAAAGGTTTAAACTTGAAATTCTGCTACTCAACAATTGCAACAGTTTAAATTGTCACCATTTATGAGTTCTGATAAATAAATACTGAAAACTGGATAGTTCATGTGATCAATCAGATTGCAAAAAAAAAAAAAGCTTTGCACAACAGACTATCTACAGTACGTGCAACTTATGCAAAAGCCTGAGAACACTGACCCCAAACCTATAGATTTCAAAGGCAGAAAAAAAAACCACCTGTCCTGTTAAGAAGCACATCAGCCTCCACATTCCCGTTAACATCAGTGTTAGCTTAATGTTATGAGACTTTTCTCAAAAATAAAATATATTTAAATATACACTTTAAACCACAGCCCTTTCCCTCTATCCAGGCCAACAGTTTGTTCACAGATCCAAAGGGCAGAGAGAGTGAGGATGGGAAAATGATGGGAGGAATCAGCTCATTTTCTCTAATGCATTAGCAGCCTGGGGGGGAGGGGGGCATGCAGGCTCGCTTGCATTAAAGCAAGAATGTCACAAACTTACCAAACTGACCATTTGCTGAAACTACAAAAGGAAGGTCTGTCAGAAAGAGCTGCAACGTAACGCTACTTCATAACAGGTACATTGGAAGTGGGATATATTATAGAGTTTATGTTTGTAGAGGTTTCTTCTTTTACCGTGTGGTTTTCCGAGAAGCAGCTCTGGAGCCAAATAATCCGGGGTTCCCAAAATTGGCACCCCTTCAACAGGCAGCGCACCCCTCCGCACACTTTTTGGAGTCCTGTAAGGAGTGTGGGAGGTCGACGTGGGCTGAGGAGTCTATAGAGAGAAGTGAAAAAAAAAAAAAAAAGTGAAATTTTCCTCAACAGTGCACCTTCGTTTGTTATCCCAGCGTACCAACCTGAAAAACAGAACTGCAGGAGTTTGGTTTTCTTTGCACGGGCGTCGCACCCCCAAATGCCGAGTGATAAGACGCCGATGTGGACGCATCCATCGGCTCCAGAGATCCAACGCTGAGCCTGGACACTCCAGATATGTTGGAGCGGTTAATGGAGCTGCAGTAACTGCGGAACACCACGCCGTTTCGTGGCTTGAGGAACGAGGAGGACCGCGCAACACTTCGAACAAGACCGGGCAGCGGGCTGAGGAGGGAACTGTGAGGTTCAACTTTTCGCCCAAACTGACCAAGTGTAGGCGTTACTATGGCAACACATTCGGTATTTGAGGAGTTCTTGTTCTTCTCATTTTCCTCGGATAAAAGTGAATTTTCTGTTAATTTGTTTGGTTGGAGAACAGATTCATGGCCGTCCAGGATGAGGGAGGTGTCATGCATGGATCCGTCAGAGTTGAGGCTCAAGTTCCTGCAAACATTCCCTGTCTCAGGAAGTGGTGAGGTGAAACTTAAACGTGACATGTCCTCAGCACCACCTTCAAACACGTCCTCCATCGGCTCCTCCAGCTCACTGAATAGACTTTTGGCCACAGCGATGGGACTGGACCGCTTCGGACTCTGGTGTTCAGCTCCCTCGCCTATTTGGAAGGTGGAAAACGTCCCAGTCAGACCAGTGTGACTCCTAGCAGTCTCTTCTGGAATATCAAAGAATCTCTTGTAGTCCGTGTTTCTCTTTTTAGCTAGGCTCTCCAGTGGTTCTGGACTACTTTCTATTTCTGAAAATGTCCTTTTAACAGATGAGGGGACTGCAAGCTGGCAGTCATCTCTCACTGATGGACAAACGTCCTCCGGAGCTCCAGGGACAGACGTTGGCTTCTTTCTTTGAGACCTTGTATCCTGAAAATGGTCAGAATTTGACTTTTTTGGCTTCCTGCTGGACACCTTGGTAGAGACGCCAATGGTGTCTAACTCTGTGGGTTCTTGAGCCTGTTCAGATCCTTTGGATTTGGACTGCCCTCTCATTCTCTGATTATTGATGCATTCATTTTCTTTCTTCAAAGAAAAAAATAAAGGACAGAAAAAACAAAAATCAGTAAAAACACAAGTACCGGTAATCTAAAATATATATATAAATATTTTTTTAATTATTATTTTATATTAGAAATTACATTATTTGTATTTACAGTATAATATGTGGTCCAATATATTTTATTGTGAAGTTTGTTTTCAACTATAAAATATCTATAAATCACAATCACTCACCTCCTCACACTCCCACAGTGGACTGATGCCACCCTCCGTGTCGGAGGTGCTGCCTCCACTCGCCGTCTCAAACCTTTTTCTAGTTTTCAACAACGTTGGCGTCAAGTTTTTTGCCAGGTTGTGAGAACTAAACACTCTACTTTTAGGTCCTACAAAAGCAAAGCACAGATAAAACTTCCAATGGATGACGGCACAGAACAATATGTGAATAACTCATGAACTCTGGTTTGTCCGTTTATGACGTACCCAACTTACTAATGTGGCCTGCTGGAGAAAACAGCTGATCTTTGTTGTTGCTCAAAGAAGAACTGAGAGAGTTATTCTTTGGTTTGATTTTGCTGCAGGACATTGGGCTGGACACAACCGAGGCGCTGAAGTGACGCTTACCATCTCCTGCAGGCGTGTTCTACATTTAGTGAAATGACAAGAAAGTTATGCACATGTGTTATAAAAAATTTAAAAAAAAGAATCACCTTTTTTTTAAATTAGATATTTTTGCTTACAAATCCAAGGGAGCTGATTAAGGAGAGAACTTGACCCGGTGTGCGGAAGAAATCTTTTTTTGGTTTCGCCAAAGATGGCGTGGTAAGAATATCCATAAGACTCAGCTCTGTTTCAATCAGAAACCAAACAGAAGCCATGAATTTAGCGTGTGATGGTCACGGTTTGTTCAAGATGAAATCAATGCGTACCTCTGTCAAGCTTCACTTTTGAAAGACCAAAGTCTGTTAGTTTGATGTGCCCTTCATTGGATATGAGCATGTTATCTGGCTTCAAGTCCCTGAAAGAGTAAAACTCAAACATATTTCCAGTCCCAAAGTGATTTGAATCAGTGTAATATATATTTAATCTGTACACATTCATACCTGTGGATTATGCCGTGGCGGTGGAGGTAGTCCAAAGCCATTGCAACCTCCGAGATATATTTTACAGCCACATCCTGGTCAAAATAACCAGAAATATGAAGGAGAGACTTCACATCTCCGCCAATCAGGTATTCCATTACCTGGGAACAAGAATCTGAAGATTAAAAGCTGTTTAACAAGAACTTTTTAAACATTTGAAGTTTCAAAAGAGTACTTTAGGTCAGGGGACTTCTATAGTTCTGCTGCAAAATAAATATGTACTGGTGGTCAATTGTGTGCATAAGAAATATTCTTGTCACAATTTACTTTTACAATTACAGTATATGAGTGGAGCTCAAAAGTTCTAAAAAATAATAATAATTGGAATAATTTGTATTCACTGTATATGATGAAACTAACAAAATATATTTCTATTATTTATTTGTTGTTTATTTTATAACACCTGCAAAACCTGATTTTAGACCAAATCTAATCATGTGCACAACAGATTTATGGTAAGTGCAAATCATCTTAGCACTTTTGTGTACATATTTTGTTTGATAAAAACTTTAAAAGAAATCTCCAAAGCAGGAAATATTTAAGATATAAAATTCAGTTAAATAATTTGCTAAGTTATTTAAACTGCAAAAGGCATAAAATTGACAAAAAAAAATAAAAAAAATATATAAAGATCACACAAAAAATGTCCACAAAGCTGTCAAAAGGCGCATATCAGTAATTAAAACAATAATCTGGTAAAGTATGTTGCTTGACAAGAATGCTACAGTACAGAACAATTTGAGCATTTTTTTTTTAAAAGTACAGAAATTTTCAAACAAATAATTGTACATTACGGTCTCTGAAAGTTAGCAAAGCAAAAAAATAAAAAATAAAAACAGCACCAGATGTTTTCCATCAAGAGAAAGGGTGGGTCTGTCCACCAAATTAAAAATATGAGGTGTTAATAATAATAGGCTTCTGAGAGTAATAATAATAAACATATATTTAATAAACGTTAGGTGAAATAGTCTTTCTGACTTTTGCAGTTTCCAGTTTTAATTCCTCCTAATATATCTGTATGCCAATCAAAGCAGGGTGCAGTGCTAGTGTTAATAAAACTATAATCGAATGATTAGAAGAAACTAATTTTGAATTGTTTGACACAATCATTCACTGTTACCAGATAAATCTTGGTGGCTGTCTGAAGGGAATAAAACAGGTGAACGATGAATGGACTTTTGCTGAGAGCGAGCGCGTCTCTCTCTGCCTTCATCTGGCTCGCCATGTTTTTGTCAGTCACCTCTGCCTTTTTCATCACCTGGCAGAGAGAAAAATCAGTTAAAATTCAGTGAAAAAGAAAAGATTTAGTTTAAATCGTGTTAAATACTCAGAACCAAAAAGTAATATACTCACTTTAATAGCATATAAACGCGCACTGCACTTCTTCCGGGCAAGGTAGACTTTGCCGAAGGCGCCGCGGCTAATCGGTTTCAAAACGATGAAATCGTCGATCGAAGGCGGCTTCGGAATTTCCACAGCTTTTACATTTGAAACCGAGTTGCGTTTTTCCTCTATCTCCATTATGCAACAGCTTAAATTAAAAATAGTCTTGCTCAGAGACAGTCAGCTATGTCACAGTAAACACCTGCATCCCAAAACAACATTCTGTTTGTTTTGAATTTTTGAATTTCCTGCCCTGTCACGGGGTCCTTTGATGCTTGTTTAGTAACTTAAAAATATGCCTGTAAAAAAATTGAAAAAAGTGGTGTGTATCATTCCAATATTTAATATAAACGGAATATAAAGTAAATTACATTTTTATCTTTGATGCGGCATAACGAATCCTGCAGGCTGTGTAATATACAAAGTTTACATTTTATTCAGGCAGTCACGACAATGGTAACGACGAAAAACCACGAGAAAGATACGAAAATCTAGCTTTTGACTTAATAATGTTAACCTAGTTTTGTAAGTTGTCAACTGTATTTTTAAATACACTTGTATTTTAGCTAATCATTTCAATTTAAGTTTAGATATTTTACGGCATACGTGACCATCATGGCACGTCCGTGACGCAATTTTTGCTAGCTAGCTGTGACACACCGGTAGGTTTGTAGTTCATTTGACCTCAGGCTCAGAAGCCTGAGAATCCATTTGCCGTAGCTAGCTGTTAAAGTTGCGTAAGTACTTGAAGTTGTGGAACAAGAACAACAAAAAAGGACACCACACTGATGAGGATTCGTTTATTGGCTTTAAAAAGAGGGTTTGTCTTTACACAGTAACCAGCTAAGAGCATATTTTGGTGTATTTTTTAAGCAAAATGTTTTCGTTATCGACGTCATTACCTCAGGTAAGCACACTCGGATGGTTGATTTTGGCTCACCGCGGTTCACTAATGTGTGTTTGCCTGATAACATTTTCAGGTATTTGGTTTGCGTTACCTGTAGTGAAATGCTATGATAACAGCCAGTGGCTTCTGTAGAGGTTTACTTTTGTTTTTGTTGGTCACAGTATAGCTTAGCTAATGCTAACATCTAGCATGTCGGTGCCGCACTGTCTCCAACTCAGCTGGTGCTTGCGTCATTTTGTCTAATTTCTGAGCACTACAAAACACAGAGAGTTAATGTTTTAATTTTATCATCCCATATGGGATGAAAGACCAGAGAAAACCAGAGCTATTGTACATTTTTGATTATCAAACAATGGATCAGTTGGATGCACGGGAACCTCACTTTGAACTGACTCCTGACCCACTGTTCTATTAGCAGATCCATTTGAAATCCATCAAATCTTAT